GTCAAAGATACCAATTTAACACAATAGGTGATTTTAGGTGAATTTTTGGGTTTTGTCCATTTGCAGAACAAATTCATACAATTTCTTCCAAGTGTGTTATCAGATATGTATGAATGTTTGTAGATTTGATAAAAATATTATTTTCTTTTTAATTATAGAAGTAAAATTTCTTAATCTTATTCATTTTACTCAGAAATGCGATTTTAGTTACCCCTACCCCTTATTTTTAAATGAGAAATGCAAATTTTTTCACCATTTTTTGCAGATTAAACGCTTGATATAACAAATTCCTGTATCAAACTTTTTTTGGTATTCAATGAATCAAAAGAAAATGTGTTTCTCTTTCTAAAACAGCCACAAAAATGGGGGGTCGGTGTGCTTCATTTTTTGTCCCATTATTATTTGTGTTATTTTTCACCTTTTTCGGGGTCAAAAATCAAAAGTGCTTCAGTAACCCTAATATGTAAAAAAAATATATCAATAATATACAACTTTCCCCTTTTTTGCATATTATTTTAATCATATTGAACATTATAAAGTTTTACAGCCCAATTTAACCTGCTACAATTAAAAATGGTGACAAAATGACAATTTCAGTGATTAATCTAGTGTCAAAAAAGGTGAAATTTTGGCCCTTTGTGAAGGCAAGAAATTCACATAAATTCCCTTTTTCAAAATGGCCGCCAAATTGGTCATTTTTTTTAAATTCTACACACAACAGACATCTAGTTTTTTTACATGTTTTTCAGATGTGTGTTTGCTAGTATACCTATCATAATTTATTAAATATTTCAAAAACCCGTTACACCAGATCAAAACGAGACTTGAACGTGACTGAAACCTCAAAAGAGTACATCCTTAAGGAGGTTCAACCCTTTCGCAATTAACCAGCAGAATTCAGTGAAAGTTTCACATAATTGTTATGTCACTATGTAGTGATGATTTTATGAAAATCTGAGTATTCGATAAACTGGGGATTTTTTGGTAAAAAATACCGAAAAAATGATTTTTGTCAAATTTATCACTTTCACATTTTTTGAGTGCGTGGCATTGTTCAAAACTATTACAACAATAAAATAATGAAAAGAAACATTGCTTATCAACCCTAAAAATATTTCATTTATCATAAAATATCTACAACATGTTACAAAAAGTTTTTTTTATTCACATAGTTTCATACAAAAAGAGTGAAAAATTTAACCAAATATTTTACATTTACAATAATTTTGATCCCGATGAGAGTTGTCTACCTCAAAAAACAATCGGAAGATTTGCAGAAGGATAGAAATTATACAAGGACAGTTATCTTCTTTACTATACCAAAAATGACGGAAATAAATTAAATTACAATATTGAATTGTCAATTTACTGTTCTTTTATGGAACAAAATAACTCTCAATCAGGTACATTTTGGACATAATTCCATAGCCCGCTTACGCATGGTATATTTACATGTCATGTACATATGTAACCATATACTATCGCATGGTATATGTACATGTCATGTACATATGTAACCATAGGCTATCGCATGGTATAATAACATGTCATGTACATATGTAACCATAGGCTATCGCATGGTATAATAACATGTCAGATACATATGTAACCATAGGCTATCGCATGGTATAATAACATGTCAGGTACATATGTAGCCAAAGGCTATCGCATGGTATATTAACATGTCAGGTACATATTCTATTCAAATGATAGCGTTATTGGAGTTAGGAGAAATCCAGTTAAAGAAATTTTCCTTAAATTTTGTAATGTTTTTCTACATATTCCGTCTTTGCGTATTGCAGAGTTATCTTCTCTTGGGAGCAGGTATTGATTGTTACGTCATTGGTTTGTGTGAGAAAATTACGTCGTTTTCTCAAAAATTGATGACGTTACTCTCACAAACAAGTGACGTAACAACCAATCCCTGCTCCAAAGAGAAGATAACTCTGCAATACGCAAAGACGGAATAAGATAAGACCATTTTAAGTTAAGGAATTTCCCTAATTAAGGAATGTTCATAAATCCTGTTGCTATGGGAATGGTACTCTATAGGGAGCTGTATCTGCCCCACCCTTTGCATTATCTCGATAAATTACATAAAGTCAGATCTAGATAAAAAATAAAAGTAAAAACGTCACAGTACGCAGATTATAGTGAAATATGTACGTACATCCACGGACTTAGATAACAATATCTAATTCCGTCGTACATCCGACAGCCCAGCCATAAAATGTATCATCCGAGATACTCAAAATTAAAAACTAGTGACAGTTTTTGGGCCTTAAAGCAATATATATATGCTCCTTGGCCAAAAGTGGTCTCCCTTAATGATATGTTCGTCCTCAGCATCAATGTTGAGCTGCGCGACCGGATGCTGTACCCTTTCACCTTTCCTGGAAGTACCGAAGATACGTAACACGAACACCAGACTGATGTATGAACTCTCTCATAGCAGCTTCTGATGCCGTGTTTCCATCAATCCCGTAGACAAAGAAACAACTTATTTTCCGCTTCTGTTTTCTAAATCCTATGAAGTTTTTCGCCAGCTTCCTTGATCGCTCTTCATCACTTTCACAGACGGAAGACGGAACATGTACCGGGCTACTTGTTGTATCAGACATGTCATTATTATCACCATGTCTCGTGGTTATTATCACCATGTCTCGTGGTTTGACTATTTTGAATAGGTGTTCTATCACGTCGTACTGTATTTGCACGATTTCCCGCCTTTTCTCGGTCATTTTTGCTGGATGTGCCGTTAGATGAGCTGTCGTCTAACACACCAAAATGGTTCAACACTGGTATTTGTGCTACTGTTTCTGTCTCTCCCGGATTGTCGTCGTGATTCCCCTTTCCGCTGTCTCTCCATGTTTGTCGTCGTCATTCCCCTTACCGCTGTTTCTCCCTGTTTGCGTCGTGATTCCCCTTTCCACTCTCTCTCCCTGTTTGTCGTCGTGATTCCCCTTTTCGCTGTCTCTCCCTGCTTGTCGTCGTGATTCCCCTTTCCGCTGTCTCTCCCTGTTGTCGTCGTGATTCCCCTTTTCGCTGTCTCTCCCTGCTTGTCGTCGTGATTTCCCTCGCCGCTGTCTCTCCCTGTTTGTCGTCGTGATTCCCCTTTTCGCTGTCTCTCCCTGTTTGTCGTTGTGATTCCCCTATCCGCTGTCTCTCCCTGTTTGTTATCGTGATTCTCCTTTTCGCTGTCTCTCCCTGTTCGTCGTCGTGATTCCCCTTTTTGCTGTCTCCCCCTGTTTGTCATCTTGATTCCCCTTTCCACTGTCTCCCTGTTTGTCGTCTTGATTCCCCTTTCGCTGTCTTTCCCTGTTTGTCGTCGTGATTAGCCTTTTCGCTGTCTCTCCCTGTTTGTCATCGTGATTCCCCTTTCCACTGTCTCTCCCTGTTTGTCGTCTTGATTCCCCTTTCGCTGTCTTTCCCTGTTTGTCGTCGTGATTAGCCCTTTCGCTGTCTCTCCCTGTTTGTCGTCGTGATTCTCCTTTTCGCTGTCTGTCCCTGTTTGTCGTCGTGATTCCCATTTTCGCTGTCTCCCCCTGTTTGTCGTTGTGATTCCCCTTTCCACTGTCTCTCCCTGTTTGTCGTCGTGATTCTCCTTTCCCTGTCTTTCCCTGTTTGTCGTCGTGATTCCCCTTTCCGCTGTCTCTCCCTGTTTGTCGTTATGATTCCCTTTTCCACTGTCTCTCCCAGTTTGTCGTCGTGATTCTCCTTTCCCTGTCTTTCCCTGTTTGTCGTCGTGATTCCCCTTTCCGCTGTCTCTCCCTGTTTGTCGTTATGATTCCCCTTTCCACTGTCTCTCCCTGTTTGTCATCGTGATTCTCCTTTCCGCTGCCTCTCCCTGTTTGTCGTCGTGATTCTCCTTTTCGCTGTCTCTCCCTGTTCGTCGTCGTGATTCCCCTTTTTTGCTGTCTCTCCCTGTTTGTCATCTTGATTCTCCTTTCCACTGTCTCTCCCTGTTTGTCGTCTTGATTCCCCTTTCGCTGTCTGTCCCTGTTTGTCGTCGTGATTAGCCTTTTCGCTGTCTCTCCCAGTTTTTCGTCGTGATTCCCCTTTCCGCTGTCTCTCACTGTTTGTCGTCGTGATTCCCCCTTTTGCTGTCTCTGCCTGTTTGTCGTCGTGATTCTCCTTTTCGCTGTCTCTCCCTGTTCGTCGTCGTGATTCCCCTTTTTGCTGTCTCTCCCTGTTTGTCAGCTTGATTCCCCTTTCCACTGTCTCTCCCTGTTTGTCGTCTTGATTCCCCTTTCGCTGTCTGTCCCTGTTTGTCGTCGTGATTAGCCTTTTCGCTGTCTCTCCCTGTTTGTCGTCGTGATTCCCCTTTTTGCTGTCTCTCCCTGTTTGTCGTCGTGATTTCCCCTTTCGCTGTCTCTCCCTGTTGGTCGTCGTGATTCCCCTTTCCGCTGTCTCTGCCTGTTTGTCGTCGTGATTCTCCTTTTCGCTGTCTCTCCCTGTTTGTCGTCGTGATTCCCATTTTCGCTGTCTCCCCTGTTTGTCGTTGTGATTCCCCTTTCCACTGTCTCTCCCTGTTTGTCGTCGTGATTCCCCTTTCCGCTGTCTCTGCCTGTTTGGCGTCGTGATTCTCCTTTTCGCTGTCCCTCCCTGTTTGTCGTCTTGATTCCCCTTTCCGTTTTCTCTCCCTGTTTGTCGTCGTGATTTCCCCTTTCGCTGTCTCTCCCTGTTGGTCGTCGTGATTCCCCTTTTCGCTGTCTTTCCCTGTTTGTCGTCGTGATTTCCCCTTTCGCTGTCTCTCCCTGTTTGTCGTCTTGATTCCCCTTTCCGCTGTCTCTGCCTGTTTGTCGTCGTGATCCTCCTTTTCGCTGTCTCTCCCTGTTCGTCGTCGTGATTCCCCTTTTTGCTGTCTCTCCCTGTTTGTCGTCTTGATTCCCCTTTCCGTTTTCTCTCCATGTTCGCGTCGTGATTCTCCTTTCCCTGTCTTTCCCTGTTTGTCGTCGTGATTCCCCCTTTCGCTGTCTCTCCCTGTTTGTCGTCGTGATTCCCCTTTTCGCTGTCTCTCCCTGTTTGTCGTCGTGATTCCCCTTTCCGCTGTCTCTCCCTGTTTGTCGTCTTGATTCCCCTTTCCGTTTTCTCTCCCTGTTTGTCGTCGTGATTCCCCCTTTCGCTGTCTCTCCCTGTTTGTCGTCGTGATTCCCCTTTTCGCTGTCTCTCCCCGGTTGTCGTCGTGATTCCCCTTTCCGCTGTCTCTCCCTGTTTGTCGTCGTGATTCCCCTTTCCGCTGTCTCTCCCTGTTTGTCGTCTTGATTCCCATTTCCGCTTTCTCTCCCTGTTTGTCGTCGTGATTCCCCTTTCCGGGCTAACCATACCCCTCTCCAAGGGACTCCACATCTGATCGATACTTTTTGGCTTTTATCTGTGAGTTTTCCTTTTGCCTGTTGAGGTGCGTTATGGTTTCCTTGAGCGATTGTGTATCTTCCCTTGTATATCCCATTTACTTATTTTAACAAATGTCCAATACTATAAAAATGCTACTGAACGATTTAAGAGATTATAATGAAATAACTGAACGATTGATATCTACTGCAGACCTCTATCATTGTATAGTCTGGATACTATGATATATTACTGACTTACTAAGGCTGAGTACACATCTTATATAGGACTTAGATGGCAGGGGTTGGCAACATGATTGTATGTGGTATCACGGACTTAGATGGCAGGGGTTGGCAACATAATTGTATCTGGTATCACCGACTTAGATGGCAGGGGTTGGCAACATAATTGTATCTGGTATCACCGACTTAGATGGCAGGGGTTGGCAACATAATTGTATCTGGTATCACCGACTTAGATGGCAGGGGTTGGCAACATAATTGTATCTGGTATCACCGACTTAGATGGCAGGGGTTGGCAACATAATTGTATCTGGTATCACCGACTTAGATGGCAGGGGTTGGCAACATAATTGTATCTGGTATCACCGACTTAGATGGCAGGGGTTGGCAACATAATTGTATCTGGTATCACCGACTTAGATGGCAGGGGTTGGCAACATAATTGTATCTGGTATCACCGACTTAGATGGCAGGGGTTGGCAACATAATTGTATCTGGTATCACGGACTTAGATGTCAGGAGTTGGCAACATAATTGTATGTGGTATCACCGACTTAGATGGCAGGGGTTGGCAACATAATTGTATGTGGTATCACGGACTTAGATAGCAGGAGTTGGTATCACGGACTTAGATAGCAGGGGTGGGCAACATTTTCATTTCGCGTATGTATTGTCCACTTCTTGAATTTGTGCACCGAACCGTGACGGCCTGTGACCCTCTCGCTACTCTCGTTCAACCAGACGCACTACGTACGTATACCCTCTCGCTGCAGCAAAAATCTCACAGACCGGTTTCCGGTATCGATAACCACGTTGTTTAAAATCTCCACGCAGAGATACGGTCCTTGCATTCCCTTTCTGTCTCGTGATAGTTATTTAGATTTAGACTTTTTAATGAAAGAATATGCAGAATATAAAAATAAAAATAAAGATTTTAGAGGTAATAAATGAGATATATATTCTACAAAAAAATGGATCAAGCGACCAAAATAAGATCCATTAGCTATAATGGTGCAGCCTGTCAGATCGTAGGAAAGATGCACGCCTAAAGATGTTCCATAAGATTCATCAGGGCACGGTGGCCATATCCACGACTGACAGGATGTACCGAGCCAGACTATTCCGAGATGTACCGAGCCAGACTATTCCGAGATGTACCGAGCCAGACTATTCCGAGATGTACCGAGCCAGACTATTCCGAGATGCACCGAGTCAGAGGAATTCCTAGAAACTCCCACCAGGTCCAATACCAACAGCAATACTCGAAAACACTAACTAGACAACAATCATATTTTCCTCGTACCATACTAGACTGGAACAAATTACCATCGGACATCGTTAATGCACCCACTTTCAACTCTCTCAACACATCTCATTCCAGGCACACCTATAAAGCCGACTTTACATAATAATTTACCATTTCTCTTCTTTTCCCCTTTTTCCGAACAAGCGTTGTAGGTGTGGTTGCCCAATCACTGGCTTGCTCGGACCTTTTTATGTAATATATATAGTCTGTCATTTGTGCTGCATAAACTTAATTTCGTGACAAAATCGTCAATTAGTTGAAGGTGGTCACTATATGGTGGAAATAGAAATAACTTATATAGGTAGCTAGATTTCGGGGGCATACACAGCCCGGTAGAAGCACAGGGGTTCGTTGCAAATGTCTAATACACATGTACATGTGCTATACTGATATAGGTCACAGCACATGTAGCTTTATGTGTGCTGTGACCTATATCTATGATATATATCTGTATATCATAACGTTATGTGTATTAGACATCTGTAACGAAACACATGTGGGAGAAGTGACTTAAAGGGTAAACTTTTAACAATAAGTTTGTCCTATTACATCATTTTAATTAATTTAAAACCATTTCTATAGAAACAAATACAGAACATCAACTGGCCTTATACCTTTGTACAGTTTATGTTATTCTCGAGATTTTGAGATTCTTGAATAGGTCATTTAATATAATTATGTACCTAAAATAGAACACTTTTATAAGATTCTATTTCTAGGCAACAATCAGAGGCATTTTTCAAACCTAAATTCCACCATCTTGGCTCAACATGTATATCATTTGTTGAATTCTTATGAATTCATTGAATTAAATGTCAACCACTAGCAAGTATATGTATACCATATACATATTTTGGTGCAACTTATTCGCAATTACTCCACATGGTGCATTTTCGTAGCTTCTTTTTTTTCTTTATGCATTCTGAGTTAAGAAAAAATGTGACATAAACTTCTGTCCCAGTATTATGAATCAGGCTTAAAATAAAACAGTTTGTCTAAACCTGACTTTCCCAAAAATGAACAAATTAGTTCATTGAAATTTTGAATTTCATTTAATGATTTTTCAATTCAGCATTTTGTCAATATTCAATGACTATTGAGATAGTTTTGACCTATTAAAATGAGCTTTGATTCTGCAAAATTCGATGTGTTTAATATCTTTGTTGTAACCAAAACATTACACATTGTAGTATCTTTTTTGACAAAATAAGCAAAGCCCTTCCTCAATCATTGATCTGGTCGCCCTCTTATCCATAATTTACCAAATGACAAATGGGAAATAAAGTCTATTATGGTTTATTTAGAATTTTGAAAGATTCAGCAAATATTGTGATTTTCCAAAATTGTTCTCAATAAAATATTGATCCTGGACCCACAAACAACTACATGAATATATTATGTAACAAGTCCAAGGTATACCAATAATTAGGCACCAGTATGATTTATATTTGAATGCGACATTCTTCGATCTTTTTCAGCTAACCAAAATAAAACTTGCTGTTCCAGGGACAGCTCCACCGCCAGTGTTCCTGTTGACAGCACCACCACTAGTGTTCCTGTTGACAGCACCACTCGCTCTGTTGTACTATAGGTACCAAGCCCAATTGTTAAAGCTATAATGTTGTCAGCAAAAAAAATCAGCGTCATTTAAATCATCAATATATTCCTAAAAGATTGATAATCTTCATCAACCTCTTTGGAAGAAGTGCTTAATCTTTTTGTCACTTAACTCCACAGAACTCTTCTTTGGTAACTTTTCATTTTTGTGTTTTTCAAGACATTTTTTTCTTGAACTGAAGAACAATTATTAAAGAAGCAACATCCAGTTCGTATAAACCCTGAGCTAAAAACACAGTATTTTAAGACTTGTAAAAAGACTAAAGTTTGCGGTTGACATAATATGTAATTGATTAATTTTCTGGTTCGCTATTTTATGTTATTATCTTTCAAAATTGATGTGTTGTCAGTTTTGTTACTCAATTACACAATATATGTATTGGTATAACAGTATCATTACTATTGATGTGAGATGCACATTCATTATTTCATTAGTTTTAACTAAGTTATATATTATTAAATGAACAAGCACATGTAAAGTTTTCACAGAATATGAGAGTTTATTGTCCAATGTCTAATAATTAAGTCCATATTCTTCATGCTTTATTTTATATAATATATATCATGAACAGGGCTCAATTGAACCATTTCATAAGTCAAATAACATTTTCCTTCAGCTTTAGAGGGTCAAAAACATATATCAATTTGACATGTTCATTCAAATCAAGCCAAAGATTCTAAAGATGAAATTTTGGAGAGACAAAAATATACTTCCCGAGGATCACCTTAAAGCCCTGCAGTATGTGAATGCGTGTTTATTCATGACTTTCCACGCACACATTACATGTACATTGTACTTATTGTGTGTACACAACTGCATAAAAACTTTCAAATGAAAATATAGCCGGGTTTGTTATTACTTACAGGTGACATATGTAAAAAAATAATTGAGTGGTGATGTACAAATTATATTAGAATTCAATGTTAACTTTGATAAAAATGAACTGGTTATTTGTTTTAAAAGTTATTTCTTCTGGTGTTGAATTGTGTATTAAACTTGTAAGGCTTTGAAACAGTTTGGACCCCCTTTTTCTTTGGCATGCTGAAATTAGAAAACATCACAATGGATTTTGGTCAATATGAAGCCGTAAAAATACACTTTCTATATCATCAATGCGATTGAAATCGTTCTGTGTACATGATAATATACCAGATTGTAATTATGAAAACAAATCATTACGTATGTATTATTACATCGGTAATCTAAGGCTTAATGGCGGCGATTATTAAAAACACGCCGATCAACAACCGTTTTCAGAATACAAATGCTACAATTTAAGAGGTAGGGGTTCACTTAAAACCACATAATCCGAACGAACACATATCATAAAAGCAATTATGTTCAGTCCTTATGTCTAATAATCTATTTGTTAGCAAGCAGTTTCTCAGAAAACGGAGGGTAAATGCAAGACGATGAGGGGAGTGGAATCACACGCTTTTGCATCATGATAAATTTTGGTCAATATTCGGAGCCGTAAAAATACACTTTCTAGATAGTCAGTGCGATTAAAATCGTTCTGTGTATACCAGATTGTAATTATGTAGACAAGTTATTACATATTTATAATTAATTACCGAGAATTACATGCATTTATGAACCCACCTCCGATCGGTAATCTAAGGATTAATGGCGACCATACTACAATTTCAGAGCTATGGGTTCACTTAAATCAAACAAACAAACAAAAAAGTTGAAAGGCTCAAAATGACTCAAATGTCGTTTTACAGAACAGTTTCCCAGGGAAGTTCGTGATACTAGGAGGAGGCTTTGGCCAGCATGTAAGAGTGCTTGGGACGAGGGTAATAAGGCATATTTTGAACGTGAAAAACTGTACATTAATGGTAGTTTG